GTCCACATTTGCATCTATGACACAATCCACATCTTCATCGTCACATATATCATTACCAATGTAGAATATAGCATCCTTACCAACTGTAGACTCTACCCTGGCGATCATCCGTTGAACGCCATGGCTCCCGTGTAGCCCCAATTTTTGGTTAATCCTCCCCTTCAGCTCATTGTACGTAGTGCCCCGTTTGATTTTCAACATTTTCGTTTTTCCTTCAAATTGAACACCGTTGGGGCCTTCATAATGCTTTCCATCATAGTAAATCATGGTAACATACATGTTTGGACTTGAGCTCATCTTTCACATGAATTTTGGGGTAGGAATCAGATTTTAGGGGTTAGGGTTCGGATTTGGGGGAAACAATTGAGAAATAAAGGAAAATGACAATAATTTCACAATTACTATGTCTTAGAGGTGGTGGGATGAAATGGAAGGGTGATTGGAAGGTTCCCAGCTGACAAACAAGAGAAAGAGACCAAGAGAGAAGTTTTGATTTCGAATATTTTGAAAATGAGCCCAAGAGAGGTCTGGATATAGAGTTTTTCGCGATCTTTAGTCGACTAAATAATGTGCTTAGTCGACTAAAAGTGCAAACAATTTAGTCGATTAAGGTGAGTTTTTAGTCGACTAAAATTCGCGTTTCATAATTTCTGAGTTTAGCCCATTTAGTCGATTACAAGTGCAACATAATCGACTAAATGGGGGCAGGATGGTGGATAGTTCTGGGGGAGGGGCAAATTGGTTATTAATTATTTAATTAGGGGCAAAAGGGTCAAAAACCCATAATTGTTGGGGATATCATTTATTAAATCAATCATTCAGCATTCTATGAAATCGACGTCTTGTAAACTCAAAAAATGTGAAGAAATCTTAACTTAAGGGGAAATTTTTAGTAAATAATCGAACCAATCTTGTTTAAATTTTTGTGCAATCTGACCAATCATGTTAAATACTTAATGGTTTGCTTAATTTATGACACGTTTCATACAAAATATAAAGTTTAAAAGATCTATAGATTTGATATGGATCTATATTAAACATGATGGAAGGTCCAATTCAATAACAGCATGAAGACTTAAAGACAAAGACTTAATAAATAAAGAAACATGTTTATATAACAAAAACACAATTTCAAAAGTATAAAATTACACCAAACCTAGATCTCATAACTCACTAAATTAAAGACATCCCACAAGATAGATAGATCTGATAAAGTCATCAAAATCTATCAATTAGAGACAATAAATCATGTTGCCGTACTAAGACAACATAATACACCAACAAGTTATGTCTATTGGTTATGATAATTACGCCTATTAGTTTAAGTGGGGAGAAGATTACTTTCCTTTAACTAAAGTCTTGAAGTAGAGTTTGTTGAATTAAAAAATAAAAATAAAAAACTTTTTCATCTTAAATTAGTTCACCCGGCTCAACTTCTATTAATCGGAGAAGTAACTATTGATCTCCCTAACAATTTATCATTGTAGGAATATCCAATTAAGCCAATACGTTACATTACTGGGTACTCCGCATCCCTTCCAAGTGTATCTTCTCAGTTCCCATCTCCCATGCAAAACTCAGATGCATGCCTCATGACAGAGCCGCATCAACTCAAGATGCATCTAATATATTATTTACTGAATTGTAGCTTAAAAACAGAGATGGTAGAAGAAAACTTTTTATGCCTTAAGTTCTACAATTCTTAAGACTAACAAAATTAAGGGCACAATGTTAATAAATCAACATATTGCAATATATTCCCGTTGAGTGAAAAATATAATAATAATTAAAACGTGCAACAAGATGATATCAACAAAAGAAAAGTCTTAAAAGAAATAAACTGCCAAAAAAAATTATCTGCAAAAATTTACATAAAATTATATAGATAGAAATCCACTTAAATTTATGAGGTCAATTTAGAGGACTAGACACTTTCTTTCCGAATATTTCTATGCAGTTTTTTTTTTAAAAAAATAATAATATAAAATGGCGGTATACACCTTGAATCCATTGCTCTTATAAATTAATTAAAACTTAACATTGCTTTTTCAAATCATATATTATTGTGCTACGTAGAAATTTTGGGTATATGTGATACGTTTTCTAAAATATATTTTTTCTTTATTTTTACTTAGCGGAATATAAATGGCTAAAAATAAAGTTTAACAAAATAATTTTTTTTTTCAAGAAACTAGTTAGTTGCCCGGGAGTAAAAATTGATAAAAAAAAAATTGGTTTTTACACTATTTTTGTATATACAATATATTATCATCATTAAATATACACTATTTATTAAAAAAAAAAAAATTCAAGAAACAAGTTAGTTGCCCGGGAATAAAAATTGATAAAAAAATTTGTTTTTTACACTATTTTTGCATATGCAATGTATTATAATCATTAAATATATACTATTTATTAAATATACTCTGTTTATATGAAAATAAGTTATGTCATGGAACATATTTTTTTTTTATCCAAAAACTCTTCCTAAGTACAAAAATTAAAAAAAAATACCTATTTCTATAAACAACCTGCTAATCTGCTTAAAAACCTTACTACAAATATTTAGAACCTCTTTTACTTTTAAGTTAAAGTTAAAAAAAATTAAAAATAAATTTAAAAGTTATTTAATAATTATATAAAACTGTTATAATGGTCTTGAAGAAAAAAAATGAAATAATTTATTATTATGATGGATTATTAGGGTAATGAATTAAATTTATAAATACGAGTTTAAAATAAGGGCAAAACTGTAAACTAAATATGAGAAATTCAAAAAACTGACATATATCTTAAAAAATGTTCCTCTTAGTAGCTTTTAACTTTATGTTTTTTTTCATTATAAAAAAACATTTTTTATAATAAGAAATTTTATAAAATTATGTTTGATAAAACTTATGATTTTAGGGAGCATTTGGTACAAGAAAAAATTTTGAATTCTCGAAAACTGATATTAATAATTATATTTACCCACATTTGGTATAAGGATTGTTTAAAGTTTTTCAGGAAAAATTAGATTCCAAGGAAAACAAATTTTGAAGCTTAATGAACTAAAATACTGTCCAAGAATACCATAAGGAGAGTGGTATTCCTGGATTTTCACGATATGAAAAAAATTCACACAACTTTTTAGTAATATTTCCGATAATATTTTGACCTACCAAACAGCTTTTTGGTAACATTTTCAAAAAATTTATTTTCCAGCATATTCCGATAAATCATATTTCTCAGACATAAAAAAATTTCTCCTTTACCAAATGAAAAGAGAAACAAAATGTAAGGCATGCCAGGCACTTTCCTAAATTCATATCTTTTAACGACCTGCTAATGAGTAATTAATAATGATAATAGATGAGTAAGCCCGTCAAAAGCAGCTCAACAGATTGCATGAAAATTGTTCATCCAGCCCACATTTTTAACAAAAACCTGATTAACATGAGGCCATTATGGCATCGCCATTTGGAAAGCCTTTTAGCCAGCCTCGTTAACAAAGTAAGGATCTAACAGGGCAACCTAAGTCTAGCTCAGGGAAACTTCGGATTCCATTTTTCCAAGGTTAACTTTGATTCCATTCTAAGCATGTCTCAACACTTTTAATCAGCTTTTCAAGATATGTATAATTATAGTGCTTGTATGTGCTCATTTCTCAACATTCAAGTGTAATCTTTTTGTTTAGATCTTGTTAAAAAAAAGAGAGACTATTTCAATGTTGTATCCGAAGTCCAGAGATACCTTAGCAATTCTCCCTAATTATCATCATTCCATTTCTACCAAGCACTATTTGTACTGAAGATTTAAGACAAGACATAAATATCCAATCGAAAAACTATGCCTTTGAACTAATCATTCTACAGGCTCCAGCTATTATAAGGCAATCAAAATAATCATTTGACCAAGCAAAACTAAAAGCCATAAACACATTTCATGCTTATCATATAGGGGGAAAACTATTTGCACATTTCATCGAGGTAAGTATGGAGTGTTAACCATTGTACCGTATGCGTAACTTGCATGTGTGTAACGTAACACCACTCATGCTACAAAACATTCTCTTGTTAAGATTTCAATGAAAGGAACGGAAGACCAGAAACTCTATATGGCTGTGTGGTAAAAAACAAAAGGAATATTTTTCTATTTCACACAAGAATTGTCTCCCACTGAGACAAAAAAAATGGGGGCAGCAATTTTATTTTATTTTAAAAAAAAAAAAACTTGGCACTGAATTCGATCTTTGCAGGAATCAAAATTTCTCTTTGTGAAAGGAGAAAAGCATTCCCCAAAAAATCAAAGTTAAAAAGTCCTGGTCACCCATTAAAAAAAATTACTCTCCCTTGGACCATGACTTGCAGGATAAGACATGACCTCGTGGGCATAAATGAATAGTTTTACCACTTTCTGTTAATCATGATCATCCAATATCAAACAATTTCAAAATTGAAAACCCCCAACTTTTTTGGACAAATAAATGACCGACATGTATAACCTCGCAAGCAAACAAGATAATATGTACGGCACAATCCATCTTGTACCACAAACTTTGGCAGTCAAGAACTGGTACTGTGCTATGTTTTAATTTAGCAGCTGTGTAAACTTACTGGTTCGCTGTCCTTAAGCCAACCAGCTCGGCCAGCTGCAATGAAAGGAAAGGAAGACTATAAACTCTAATTGACTATTAATAGCCATGGTCACCTGACATCTAATCAGTTTCAAACTATACTGCAGAAGAGGGCTCACAATCCTTAAGCCAACCAGCTCGGCCAGCTGCAATGAAGAGGGCTACTTCGACAGAATATTGATTTATAGTAGAAACCAGTATAATCCAACCAACTAATCTTGAAGGGTGGAAAAATTCCAACCAGAGAAAGATGAAGACTACACCACTGCCAGCAATAAAATAGAGAATTCTTATTGTACTCAATGAAAAAACAAAAATTGTGTCAAAGCAACAAGTATATTCGAAGAAAATGAGTCATTGATGAGTATTCTAAAATAAAAAGTCGTATTTAAATAACAAGAGACATCATGAAATAGGTTTTCCAGGTAGTTACTCCAGTAAAATCCTTCCATAAATCTCTAGCATGGGATGATGCAATAAAATTAGTTCATTCACATTTATGTTACAACAATTCAGTAAAGATGCACCAATCCTATTGAAGCTTATTGCTAACTATCTATGCAGCAATGCTGTGATAAATTCACTCTTCCCAATAATATTAAAAGCATCAATACTCCTCCCATATAACCAAATTAAAAAAGAGAAGAAAACCCAACACTATCAGCTTTATTAGATTACAACACTTCCCAATATCATTATTGGTCCAAAATAATACTAATAGAGAAGTCCACTTCCTTTGGTTCTCTTTCCTGCAAAATTGCCAAGCATGCAAATACGCATGCAAAGAATGAAATACTCACTGCTATGGTACATTGTTATATCTTTATGCTGCAGCAGACCGCTTGTCATCATAATCATCAAGATTAAGAGCTTGTAGCAACTTTGGCCAAGATTCTGGGATTCCGCCAGGTAGGTTAAACTCCAACAATTTTCCTCTACCACGGTAAAATTCCTCCACAGGCTGACTCTGCAATCATGATAGAAAGCAAATCCTAAACCAATTAGAAAGGAAAGTAAAATTCAACTAGCATAATTAGAAATATCAACTTTTAATATGACCTCACTCAGACCTTTCATAAGCCCCTCATAATATATATATGGGTTAAGTTTTTCTCCTATTACAGGAAGAAAAACTTAACCTCCTACAGACTCATAAAAAGGCGCAGTGCCTTTATTTTTCTTTTTCTTTTTCTTTTGCAGTGGGTCCCACGAGCTGTTGTATGTGCTGGAGAAAAAATAACTTCTGCATCAGGAGAAGTTATTTTCCCTATTATATATACAACATGAAACAAGAAGGCTAAGCGGCTATTCTTCCTCAAATCCACTCACAACAAAAACAATAATAATAATATGGTACAGCAATACCATTTCATTGTATATTCGAAGCCTTTCTTTGACCACTGCTTCAGTATCATCTGATCGAGTAATGAGCTTTGACATACAATTTGCAGGAGGAAGAAGCGGAGCCATGATAATTCCAGGGCTCCCATTCTCAGCCTTGATGTCAATGGAAGCAACATTAAAATTTCCCCCACACTGATTGCAAATCCTCCTACCAAGGCACTTCTCAAGCAGTACATCTTCTCGGAGCTTCAGATTGATTACTAAGTCAATGTCAGTTACCCCTTCCAATATTTCCTGAGCACCAATAAAAGGCAATTTAAAAATTAAGCACTTATTATTCAAACTGCTTCTATGAAAAGCAAGCATGCTACAGAACTGTTGCAACTCCAACACGTAAGAGGGATAAAGGGGTTGGGAAGAAGAGAACATAAAACTGCTTGTTTGGTTAGTAAGTATCTGGGTTCTGGAAATATCACAGGATGAGATGCCATAAATAGATACGTATTAACATAAAGAGAGCATCGGATCAGACCTTGGTATACTTATTCAAAGGTGAAGTATTTTTTAAAAAAAAAAATGATGAAAAGTAGTAGCTGACTAGGTGGAAAGTTAAAGGGACCTAAATAAGGTAGGTTGCTAAGTGAAATCATCATACTATACCTGCAAAATTTCTCCATTTGCTTTTTATTGGAAATTACATTTTTGGGTATCAGAACCCACAATCAATATTTGTGTTCCCTGTATTCATCTAAAAGATTTTGCAAGCATAACAAATGGGAGTAACTATAATGAAAGTGAAAATATGTTGTAAAAATAAAAGGAATAGTTGTATAACTATTTTTTGATTTATTTATATAGGACAAATTAGTGATAGCTTTATTTCATATTTGTTTGTGTAGATTTAGCTCCTTTTTTAGGAAAGTAATTACTCATACATTTATACAATGTAATATCTGTACATGGAAAAATAAATAATATTTAGATTTAGAATTCTAAATTTCAACTAGATACTCACTGCTTGCTTTATTGTTCTAGGAAAACCATCAAGAATAAATCCCAATTCGCCTTTAGCCTCCCCAGCAACAAGTCTCTTTGACAATAAATTTATAATAATTTCATCTGACACCAATTGACCTTGGTTTACAATTTCTGATAGCTGTAAGACACCAAAAATTAAAATCAGAAAGCAGAAGAGATGGTGCAACGTACATACATCAACGTCAACATCAACATCACCTTTAACCCAAGTTAATTGGGGTCGGTGGTAAATGAACCCAATGATAAATAAAAGGAGATTAAAAAATAAAATAAAAATAAATAAATAATACAAAAATAAATAAATAAATACATAAATACTGCAACGTACATAAAATAAACATATTATCCCAATAAAAGATACAACAGTTAGGCCACACTGTATGACATATTGAAATACCATTATGTATTAGTCAAAGCTCAAATATATTTTCACTTTCAGTCAACTGATCTTTAAAAGATCAAGAATAGTAAAACATCAAATACATTAATCACTTATTAATGGCAAATAAAAATGAGAAGCAATCAAGATTTGATTTCACTAATCTGGTTCAATAAAAAATAAATTTAATCTTCCAAATTTAAATACTTACTAGCTTGGAGGACAAGTAGATTTTCCTTATAACCCAATAAATAAATTATATATGCAATTAAAAATACAGAATTATTCTCCACTTTCAATCAAGAGAATACGAGAATATCAATAATTAAAGTGTTTAAGGAACTGAAAGCCAAAAAATCCAAATTTTACATACATGCTGCACAGATGTTTTAACATAAGTTAACAACTAACAGATGACAAGATCATCACATAAGATGTTGGTCATGCAACAAATAGCGTAGATATGGTAAAAGGAGCTAAGATACAATCAAAGCAGAAAGAAAGGAATACCAAACTATTTGAAGTGCATCAGAAGCACGCATCTCCAATCAGAGGTGTTTAAATTAGATTAAGATACATGATGCTACTCCACTCTAATAATTAGTTCTCTTAGAAAAACCAAAACAACTGGTGTTTGAGTGACAGCATTTTTATAACCAGTGACGTATCTCCAACACAATACAAAGAATTAAGACTTCCAAGTTCTACCCAAATGACCAGATTGAAGACCTTTCTATCTGGCTATACACATGGATGTCACAACCTAACATGGAACAAGAGCTATTGAGTTGGGTTGATAATGACGCCTACACAGGCCAGCCCACCGCATTCCGTCCCATTCGTGGCAGGGCAGCCAATACTGAAGTTCTACATGCAGGTGTAAGACAGGCTTTGGCCCCCTCAAATTTGTGAAAAAACTGATACCTTACATGTATTTTCATTATTATTATTATTATTATTTTGAAAAATGTGAGTTTTTCAAAAGATGCCTCCCCTAGGCAAGGGTGTACATGATACTCTAGCTCCACCACTGTCTACATGGGACAATCTAGTTTAGGCTCACATAATTGTACAACGACTATGCAGGGCACTTGAGTCCAAAAGTATGTTTACAAAATGACAAAAAAGACTAACAAGAAGTTGTTACGCAAAGGGAAAACGATAGACATTAAGTTATCTAAATTCCTAAAGACTCCGACCAATTAAATCAACACCTGCAAGTTCTTGTATGAAATATATAGAATTGCTATGAATAATTATTTTTAAAAAATAATAATTAAGTGCGCGGGAACTAAACTTCAAATAAAACAGAACAGAAAATTTCAATAATCTCGAATAATTATTTCTAATTTCGCGTGTAACGAAGAGACAAATCATTAAGTTGGAAATTCACCATGCCATTCTATTTCTATCAAAATGAAAGTGAACAAGAGAGCATAAAGAGATAAAAATTAAAATAAAATATGAAGGTTTTGAGGGAAAAAAAATAAGAGGAAGAAGGAAACCTGAGTAGAAAGGGGGCCAGAGGAGGCGAGTTCTTCGCGAACGAGATCGCCGGTGGCGATGTGAGGAGCGCCGAGGAGATTGGAGAGGCGACTAGCGTAGGTGCCTTTGCCGACGCCAGGGCATCCCAGGAACACCCACTGGACATGCTTGTTCTTGAGATCTTCGCGTGGCGGAACCTGCGGTTTCAGGCGGAAGGACGCGGGGCTGTACGGCGGCGCGTGAGAGTTGATCTCGGTCGAGGAGAAGCATCTAATAGCAAGCGAAGAGAATGAGGACGCGCGCTTTGCAAGGCGGGTAATGGCCGCCATGGGATTTTAGAAGCGAGAGTTGCGATCACAATGAACAAAGATTGTTGATTACTCGTTCAACCTAGCTTTTTAGAGTTACTCATTCTTAAATCTTAATCATGGATTGTTTTTTAGATTTTCTCACGGTGTAGTCCTTTTTATATAAAAGAAAAATATTTGTCCTTACGAAAAATAGTCATTTTAATTAAGATTAATATTTTTTGTGTAAAATTTAAATAAAAAAAATATCTCTTACTTTTTTTCTACAATTTCTATTGTTTATTTTTTTATTTAAAATAACAATTTTATATTATTTAAAAAGATAAACTCCGATCCTTTTTTATTGGGTTAATTGTTGTTTAGTGTCTTAATTTATTTGTGAGGGTGAGTTATACTTTAAAAAAAAAAGTGAGATACCCAAAAAAAAAATATATATAACGTTAACGAATTTAAAAATTAAGTTGTCCGTATAGATATTCATAAACTAAATTATTAGAGGAGAATAATTTTGTAAATTGGACATTTACTTTTTGAATTTAATTTGTTTTTTAATGTAAATGGAACATTATTGTTGGAATATTCTTTTTTATTTCTTCTACGTCTCATTTTTTTTTTTTTTAGTACAGTACGTCTCATTCTTTTCTGTAGGGGACTCGGGATATCAAATGTGATTAATATGGAATTAGGGTCTTCTTTATAATTCGCAAAAGCTACTTGACGTCACACACTCTTCTTTAGGGTCGTTTGGTACACGGATTTCTTTTCGATTCCCGAAAAACTGAATTTTTTTAAATTTTAAATTTTAAGATATTATCGTAAACAATGTAAAAATCTTATTTTTGAACATAGAGATTCCCACCCCCTTAATTCAAGTTGATTTTTTAATGTATTGCAATAATATTCTCGGTATATTCCATTTTTATCTTCCACGTATCATAGTGATTTCATTATAATTCGCCAGGGTGTGACGTGAGAAATCATAAGGACAACGTACACAAATAATATATTATATATTCCTTCACCTCCACGCTATCACATTTTTGTTTTAAATAAAAAATTTATAAAAATTATACCAAAAAAATAATTATTATTTTAAAATATTTAAAGGAAAAAATATTTATTCTTTTTATATATTTATTCTCTTTTTATATTTTTTTTCTTTCTCAAAATTAAAAAAGAAAAGAAAGAGAGAGTGTTATGAAGTAGATAATATAATTATTTTACTTAAAATTACATAAAGATATATCATTTTGGCAAATATTTTTCGTATAATTTAATATTAAATTGTTTTAATAACTTAAAATTATCAATTTCAATAAAAAATAATAAATACTTTATCAAAAATAAAATACTTAGTTCTTATCATAAAAGAAAATTTTATTATTCTCTTTAATTTAAATAAAAAAAATGATTTGACACATATAAAAAATTTATAAATATAATATATTTTTTAATAATTAATATAAAAAAAATATTTTATGCATAACTTATTATATTCTTTTTAATATTTATGGGTAATTAATTATTTTATATGCTACATTTTTTTATCCTTTTTATTTTTATCTGATAACTAAATTTATATATTAAAAAATTAAATAAAATTAATATATTCATAATATACTTACCACCACAAAAGTTAACACTCTTACAACCAGCTTATTCACTGTTGATTTCCGTCAATCTAATGAATATAATTATTTAGAATTAATGATTAATTAATAAGAGTGATCCAATAATTACCAATAAATTATAATCGTTAGATTGACGGGTTGTAAGAGTGGTAAACTTTTGTGATGGTAACTGGTAAGTATATCCTTCCCTAGGGGTGTAAATGAGCCAGACTGGGCCGGACTTTGGTCTTTCTGGCCTTAGCCTACGTAAAAAAATATTCAGCCTATCTTTTTTTGTTGGCCTACTAAAGGCTTTATTTATAGGCCAAGTCTGACCTATTTTTAAAAATTAGAGAGCCTTATATGGCCTACAGGCCTTGTAGTCCTCCCTAGTGATATATTTTTAAATATTTTTAACAATTTTTAAAATATTCGCTTGACATTACAAGTCATTAACGTGTTCATAAATTGCTACATTTTTTTAGACGAGATATAAATTTCACTAGTGAACATTAAAAACGACGAAGCTCAGAGAAGGGAGAAGCGGCGTTGTACAAAATAATTTAGGGTTGGTACTGATTGCCACCTAAAATAAATATTTTATTTTATTTTATTTTAAAAAATTAAATAGGCCAACCTTCAAGGCTTTAGACCAGGCTTGATAAAATTGGCATATGGCCTACTTGTTAAAAAGACTTATTTATTAGCTTAAGCCTACTTTATTTTACAATGTAGGCCGAGCTAGGCCAGGCTCAATGTAGGCTAGGCCAGGCTAGTCTGACCCATTTACACCCTTATCCTTCCCCTATTATAAAATATTTAAAATTAACAAAGAATAATAAATGAAATTAGTAATAACGTCATTTTAATTCTCTTTATTAAGACATAATGGTATCATTTTTTTATTAAAAGAATAAAATTATAAATGATTAAAATATCAATAAATCTAATTTATTCAATCAATTGTGAATATTTATATATAAAAGAAGAGGTCGAAGTTCAAAAGAAAGAAAAACTAGCTCCCCATTAATATTAGCTTCGGCAAGTAATACGTTTTCCCATAAGATGCTCGAGCTCTATCAAATTTTGTTTTCCTGATGCAAGCTACATTTGATAAGCTAATCTACGCAGTAATTTTATTATATAGTTTTGTGAATTAATTGAACTTCCCTAACGCAACTACTTGACAGAAAAGTTACCCCTCATTCCCATGGTAAAAGCTTTCTACGAGTTTTTTTATTCATATAAAGCAAAAATAGTAAATAATTTACCTTTTTAATTATTTTGATAAACAATTTACCAATCTAATCTGAAAATATGTGTAGTCTATTAATGCACATTAAGATGTGCATGGATTTTATAGCAACAAATAGAAACACGCACAGGAAAACACCTTGTCTATAGGAAAAGACGCGTAACTTAATGATACGCGCCAAAACGTGCTTGAACCCTATGCTGTGTGTGAATCTAATTTTCCAATTGACCATCCATTGGAGTAGAACTTGAACCGGAAACTCTTTGTCACAGAACTTCAACAAAAATCCTCAAGGTATATTTAGAGAGGCCAACATTTTACCTTGGCAAGATCAGTGTGAAGTTGGAGTCAGATCAAACAATAACACTTGGGCTAGTACAGTTGCGCTCTCACTAACCGCTATAGTTTTTGTCGTAGTGGTAAGAGCTCAATTCAACACATGGTATCAAAGCCCAAGGTCATTGGTTCAATTTTCTGGGATGACACTTTGCGAGAGGCAGGTGTTGGGAGAATCATTAGATAAATCAACATCCTACATTGGCAAGGTCGAGTGTAGGGTTAGCGTTAGAATGAACCATGATGCTTGGGCAGATAAAGTTGCGCCCTAACTAACAGCTATAACTTTTGACTTAGTGGTAAACACTTGATCCAATCTATAGTATTAGAGACAAGGTCATGTGTTTGATTCCCCGAGATGACTCCATGAATGGTAGACGAAGAGAAAGTCCTTTCAAGAGAACACACAAAGAAAGAGAGAGAGAGAGAGAGAGAGAGAGAAAATCATCAGAACATAACACGTACATGGAAAAGAAGAAAAAAGGAAAAAAATGGTATCTCATAAAATGTGCATAGTGAAAGCAGGTCTTAATGAGCACCTGTTTGTCATTATTGAAATGCATATGATATTTATATGCATATTAATGTACATTAATAAATTATGCGTAAAACAATTAAATGGATTATTATTTACTATTTTGCTTTATATGGGTCAAAATTAGCTTTATTCAAAGTGTTGATTACAGTGCTTCAACTAGCATTGCGTGATCATAACCAGTTCTCCAATCAATTGAAAGTCTTAGGGTGTGCATGACAACCATTCTGTTCCCTGACACTATTTCTGAAAAGAAATAATTCTTTTCTATTTCTGTGTCTTGGAACAGTTTCTGAGAAAAAATAATGTGTTTGATAACATGTTCTATTTTTATTTTGAGAATGAGAATTGTGTTTGATAACACAACAAATAATATAACAAAAAATAATTCCTATTAAGCATAATTTTTTTTTCGGATCATAACTTTTCTTTCCGTATGGCGGCGGCGACGATGGTGGCAGCATGGTGGTGGTAATGGTGGCGATGGTGGCGGCGACAATGGTGGTACCGACAGCAGTGGCTGCGATGGTAGTGGTGGCATGGTGGTGTTGGTGATGACATGGTGGTGGTGGTGACGGCAGTGGCTACGGAGATGGTGATGGTGGTGGTTGGTGACGGAGATAATGGTGGCGACAGTGGTGGTGGTGGTGGTGGTGGTGACGGCAATGGCTGTGGCAATAATGGTGGTAGTTGTGGTGGTGGTAGTGGCTGCGACGATGGTGGTGGTGGTTGGTGGCGTGATAGTGATGACATGGTGGTGTTGGTGATGACATGGTGGTGGTGGTGACGGCAGTGGCTGAGGCGATGGTGGAGCTGGTTGGTGACAGTGGCGTGGTGGCAGTGGTGATGATGTGGTGGTGGTGATGGCAGTGGCTGCGACGATGGTAGTGGTGGTTGGTGATGGTGGTGGAAGTGGTGGCGATGGTGACAACAGTGGCTGTGATGGCAATGGCAGTGGTAATGGTGGTGATGACGGTGGCATGGTGGAGGTGGGGGCGATAACATTGTCGTGATGGTGGTGGTGATGGTGGCGGTGGCATCGTCGTGGTGGTGGTGGTGGTTGTGATGATGACATTGGTCGTACAACGGCGGCGATGACGATGGTGGTGGTGGTCATGTCGGGATGATGGTGGTGGAGAGTGATTGAGAGAAATAAGTGTTTCTCATTTTGTGCCCGGAAACAAAAAAGCAGAAAATTTTTGATTCTTTTTTTTGTTCCTTAGCACAAAAATTAAATCGGTTCATCCCGGGAACAAAAAAATAAACCGGTTTTACCAAACGAGTTTTCTATCCATTTCTATTCCCGGGAACAGAAATTAAAAAAAAAAATTTGATTCCAGGAATGTTGTCATGCACACCCTTAATGTCATTCCT